ATTTGGAATGGATCTATATTTTAAACTGGAATTAGAGAGGTTTTACTTGACAGAAACAAGTATGGACTTCAATGCTTACATACACTTTACTTGATTGACTCGAAAACAAAGCAATACCCAAAGGTGATTAGTCCAAATAATACAAAGTAATCATTTTTGAGACATAAAGAATATATATTTTAAGTCTGAAACCAATTTATGATCAATCTTAATGACTTTTTACATTAATCAGATTGTATTATCAGGAATTAATGTTGGCATCAAGTTGGAAAAATAACTCTTATTTGTCTTTGAAAAATGCTGAAGGTCAAACATTTAAACTCCAACAGAGCGATAAAAACAGAAATAGTGTTAGTAAACATAGGCTCGCATTGAACCATGAAGGATAACTCATACAAATCAACAGTACTGAATAAAAAGCATACATTCTGTCTTAATGCATGATTTCTTGTTCCCACAAGATACATTTTTTGTAATTATTAATGATTTGTTTTATGTCATTTGTTTTATGTCATGTGGGTTTGGTTTTAAGGGAGTATATATATGTTTATCAAACGGTACGGTGTGCAGTATCATAAAGGACAGCAAGAGGATTTATCGCATAGATTTGCTTAAAAGGACCGATGTGTTTGGTGCAGTTGCATTGACATAAGACAATAAAATAATGACAATGAAATAAGACACTTGTTATTAGCATAATAGATACAGATTTAAACAGGTTAACTTTTACATGCCAGTTAAAGTAATTGGTTAAACGAGAATGAACTAACTTTTGTCGATTTGAAGTACGCTGTCGATAACGAAAGTTTGCAAAACGATTCGTCTTACTTAATGACATCATTTGCATAACGAAGAAAAAGCAATAACAAATGTGTTGTAGTTTGTATTGTTTTATTATTTGTTTCTTAAGGTATTAACTATATTGGTATGTATTAATTATATAAAATGCAACATACATGTTATAATGCAGTATCGGTTTTAAAATAATTAAATGTTTTCATTTATTGCTATGATATATAACCTTCTTTCGTTTTAGTGTTTCTTGAGGCTACAATATTTGGAACAAAATGGTGTAGAAAGGGTTGTTTTATTACTGTTATTATTAATATATTTGTTTGTGGTTAATCAAAGAATATTAGTAAGAATACATTAAAAAAACATTTTCCATGTAAAATTGAACTTTCTGTTTCGATATATCAAATCTCACATTATAGATGAATTTCATAATTTATTTATATCTCAACTATTGAACAGAAAACGAATATATCATCCTCTGAATAAAATGTAAAAAACAAAATTGTGTTTGAATAAATATTGTTCTATGCATTTAGCTTGAGTAGATTTCACTAAGCGTATGCTGAATTTCAAAAAAAAATCTCTTTGCATTAAAATTTTAACTGCTTATCTAACTATGTCAATTGTATTTGTAGATAAAGTTTTAAAAATGGGGTTTAAATATTTTATGCATTAACACTGTTTGTACACTGTTTACACTGTGTTATCAATATTGCCTATACAAAAGTATCCGAAAATTGATCTGACTATACTACAAACTCTGTCTTCAAACGCAAATAAAGCATAATCAGTGATAATTTAAGGAGACTTAAATACAAAGGAAGTTTACACGTTTGTATGCGAAATGGATATTTTAACTTTTGACTTACATAAAAATTGTTTTCATACACACAATGTTATGAATTGATATTTAGATAAGATATACGCGGTTTGGTCACATATACTTAATCAGAGTTTTTATCCCCCGCCGAAAAGGCGGCGGGGGATATAGAAATAGTCTCCGTCCGTCCGCCCGTCCGACCTTCCGTCCGTCCTTCCGTCCGACATTTTTGTCCGGAGCATATCTCCAAAAGGCCTTTGAGATATCATTATGAAACTTCATAGGTGCATAGATCTAACTCAGGAGGAGTGCAGTGCACAAGAATGATAACTCTACCTTGCATGATTTTTGAGTTATTGCCCTTTGTTATTTTTCAAAATTGATTTTTGTCGAGAGCATAACTCAAAAGCCTATGAGATATCAACATGAAACTTCATAGGTGCATAGATCCCACTCAGGAGGTGTGCAGTGCACAAGAGTGATAACTCTACCTTTCATAATTTTTGAGTTATTGCCCTTTGTTATTTTTCATACTTAATTTTTCACCTGAGTGGAGCATAACTCAAAAAGTGTTTAAGATATCAACATGAAATGTCATAGGTGGATAGATCTTATTGAGAAGGAATGTTGTGCGCAAGAATGAAAACTTTTTTCTATACAATTTTTGAGTTATTGCCCTTTGTTCTCTTTCATGCTATTTTGTCCAGAGCTTATCTCAAAAGTATTTGAGGTATCAACTTGAAACTTCAAAGGTGGATGGATCTCATTGAGGAGGAGTGCAGTGCAAGAATGATAACTCTACCATGCATTATTTTTAAGTTATTGCCCTTTGTTATTTTTCAAAATTAATTTTTGTCCAGAGCATAACTCAAAAAGCCTTTGACATATCAAAATGAAACTTCATAGGTGCATAGATCTCACTCAGGAGGGGTGCACTGCACAAGAATGATAACTCTACCTTTTATAATTTTTGAGTTATTGCCCTTTGTAATATTGCATACATACTTTTTCACCCGAGTGGAGTATAACTCAAAAGTGTTGAGATGTCAACATGAATTGTCATAGGTTGATAGATTTTATTGAGGAGGAATGCTGTGCAAAAGAATGATAACTCTTCCCTGTACAAATTTTTAGTTATTGCCCTTTGTTCTTTTCATACTATTTTGTCCGGAGCTTATCTCAAAAAGTATTTGAGGTATCAACTTGAAACTTCATAGTTGGATGGATCTCATTGAGGAAGAGTGGAGTGCACCAGAACGATAACTCAACCCTGCATAATTGTTTAGTTATTGCCCTTTGTTATTTTTCAAAATTAATTTTTGTCCAGAGCATAACTCAAAAGGCCTTTGAGATATCATTATGAAACTTCATAGGTGCATATATCTAACTCAGGAGGTGTGCAGTGCACAAGAATGATAACTCTACCTTATATAATTTTTGAGTTATTGCCCTTTGTTATTTTTCATACTTAATTTTTCAATTCAATTTTTTTCTCAAAAAGAAATTGAGGTATCAACTTGAAACTTCATAGTTGGATGGATCTCATTGAGGAGGAGTGCAGTGGACCAGAACGATAACTCCACCCTGCATAATTGTTTAGTTATTGCCCTTTGTTATTTTTCAAAATTAATTTTTGTCCAGAGCATAACTCAAAAGGCCTTTGAGATATCATTATGAAATTTCATAGGTGCATAGATCTAACTCAGGAGGTGTGCAGTGCACAAGAATGATAACTCTACCTTTTATAATTTTTGAGTTATTGCCCTTTGTTATTTTTCATACTTAATTTTTCAATTCAATTTTTTTCTCAAAAAGTATTTGTGGTATCAACTTGAAACTTCATAGGTGGATAGATTTTACTGAGGAGGGATGCAGCACACAAGAGTGCTAACCTACCCTGCATTATTTTTCAGTCATTCCCCTGTGTTATTTTCAGCCATCAGTATTCACTTTTCATTACCAAAAGACCTCTTAAAATGGAATTATTCTGCTCTACTACATATACATTATTCCAATGAGCAAACACATTCGTCGGGGGATGGCCATGTTGACATGGCTCTTGTTTATTACAGAAATATTGTTTTAAATATATAGCTCCATGACTTTATAAATCGAGATCTGCATAATAAATTAGATAATCTAGATAAAAAAACGTCAGCCTTGCTGAATATTATTATTTCATTACCATTATTTACACTTACAGTTGGGTGAACGTTTCGGTTGTCAAAAATAGCGTTTTTCGTGCGTCCGTTTGTCGTGTAACGTGCGTGAGTATATCGTGCAGCGTGCGTTTGATGAAACGCTTTCTCCAGCGTGCATCGTTTACATGCGTTTAATGTTTATCTTTTTCCGTGTATCGTTTTTCGTTTATCGTGCGTTTGAGAGTTTGTGTTTCCTATCGTTTTGCGTGCGTATGTGTCCGTTTATCGTTTGGTCGAGAACGTTTACATAGCGTGCGTCTGTTTCTGTCATTATTAGTTAAGAACATATAATCTAAGCAAAAAGATTGTAAACTTTATATGAATATAAATGTCAGTTCTTTTTTAAGTAAAATATTTTCTATTTGTGTTGCTTACTCTAACATTCGGTCTAGTTTGTGACCCTATGACGAAGTATCATGAACACCGTACACCGACGCGCGTTATTCACATATAGATTTAGCCCTTATCTGGAAAAACTTTTGGGCTGCCAGTCTGCAATGTATGTTTCTTTTTCTTTAAAAATCGCACATTAATTCCGTTAGCTTCTGTGTATTTGATCGTTGATTTGCTAAAGTTTCTACCATTCTTTTTATTTTTTTTATGCCGGAAGCGGTGTCGACGTAATAAACGTCTATCAAGAGATTCCTGGGCTAAAACAAAGTATTATTTTCAGAAATGCGCATAAAGACGAACCCGTTGAATTATTTTTTTAATATTAGCGCATGATAGCTTATAATTTAAAAAAAATATTTGTTGAGGCTGCACGACAAAACTATTTTTGTGCCAGGTTGAGTGCATTACAACTCTAACATAAACATAAACCCGTTTAAAATACATGTCTAGCTATCATTTAATCCAATCGCTAAACGATCTAGCTAATTAAGTTGTTAAAAACTTATATGATAAGGATATTTTATTGAACGTTTAGAAACGTTTTTATTTTGCGTGCTTTTTAGCGTGCGTTTATCGCTTAGCCTATTTCGTTAAGTGTGCGTGCGTCTGCTATTTCGTTTGGTAAAGCGTGCTTTTAACGTTCGTTTCTTATAGCGTGCGTTTTTCCAGAGCTTGCGTTTTGCGTGTAAATTGAAACGTTCACCCTACTGTATATCGAATGTTAAAACATACATGTATATGTTTTTAATCTAATTTAAGTATACTGTATATCTTTCCTTTTATAGATGTCGCCCTTGACTCGTTATGTTATCAGATGTATGCAGTTGATACATTGAATTAATGAATGACTTAGCCTTCTGTTTTTATTTAATACATTGTATAATTCTGTTTGACAAAACATGGAGGTTACAGGAAAGAGGGCAATGAACATATTTTCTTGCAAACCATGTGAAGAAAGTGATGTGTTGACTCAAACGAATGGATTTTGTACGGACTGTGAAGAATATATGTGTTCCAGTTGTTTTAATGCACACAAAAAGTATAAGCTTAATCGAGATCACACTTTAATTGACTGTAATGATGAAACAACACGGAGAGAAAGTTCAAGTGTATTTGAGAAATGCGAGCAACACTCAAACGAAGCAGTAAAGTTTTACTGTGTACAGCACAAGCTAGTTGGTTGCGGAGATTGTATGATCATAGGTCATAGGTCATGTAAGGTCGATTATATTCTTGATAAGGCTGAAGAAATTAAAGGCACAGCAGAGTTCAAGTCTTTAACCAAAGAACCGGGAATATGCAAGGTTGAAGCTGAACAAGTGCTTTCCTCACTTAAGAACAATAAAGTTCAAATTGATGATATCAATGAAAGGTTCAAACAGCAAGTTAATATGTTCCGGGAAGAGATCATTTTAAAAGTGAACAACTTATCAGATCGTATGCTTAAGGAAGGCGAAAGCATTAAGGCTAAAGATAAATTGAGCATGACAAAGTTATCAGACGAAACTGAAAGTTTGATTAATGATCTCAATGATATGTCTGATTTATTCAAGGCAAAGGCTGGGAGTCCAAGTCAGTTCTGTGTGTGTTTAGTATCAAAGAAACCTAAACTGGATTATCTGAGGAAACAGATTGATGACATCAGAAGTAGAAACATTATCGACAGTTACGAGCTCAAAAGAGATACCAAGTTATCTCACATATTGGCAAGCATAGGCCAACTTGGGAAACTTCAGAAAGACAAGGAGAAGCATGTAAAAGGTAAAATAGAATCTATGTTTTATGGTAATTGAAATCGATTTTATATTTAACGTAGCTTGATTTTACAAATATCAAGCAGACGTTTAATGATGATTTCAAAAGGTGTGACATTATAAGAGTTACGGGTTATGGCAAAAATTTATTTGTTTCCAAAGGTTGTACACTATGGAACTCACTTCCTCGTAATATAAGAGATATATTTTGAATACTGTATATGTATTGGATCGTTTTTATGTCTAGTGTTTTTTTTAAATTTAATTGTTACTATTGCTAATGGATGTTAAAAAAGATGGTGTCTTAAAATATTTTAATGCATAGCAGAATTACTTAATTGTAACTTTTAGTCATTTAAAATGTGTTTACTTCTAATCAAAAACCTTATACATATATATAATCTCGCACTTTAGCAAGCAAAGGTCAACTGAGGAAACTTCAGAAAGACTAAAGAAGGGTGTATAAGTAAACTTATCTTTCTATGGTACTTTAAAACGGTTTTATATATAGCGTAGCTTGACTTTACAAATATCAATCAGACCTGGCATGTTCAATTACAATTAAAAGGCGTGCAATTACAAGGTTTTACCATTTATCAATTATTGTTTAAAAGTTCAATTTACTTATGCTGATGTTAGAGCTTGGACAGTAGGTGGCCATGCAACAGTGTTATTTTTATCGTTTTAGGCATTCTTTGGTGAGTCGTTTTTTATTTTCCTCCATTTTATGTTGAAGTCTATATATTTTGTATAGAAAATGTGTTATAGGTATATCGATTCTTTTTATCGTGTTTAAGTCATATTTATTAGTTTAAGATATTACTTACTATTGATGTTTCTTACCATACATATGTAACTTTTCACAAACGAAGACAGGATCAAATTATTGATTTTGTAATGTGAACCCTCGTTGTTGTATATGATAGTATAATAGCAAGTGCTTTTAATTTTTTTGTTAAGTGCACGAAACGATTTTGAATTTCGCTTTGGATAATTCTTGCGCGTTGAAAAGAACAGCAAATTAGGTTTTTTTAAAATGCGATCAGTCTTGTCTGATTTTATCTTTCATTTTTCACATATCATTAAATGATTATTGTACCCAATGTTTTTATTAATTATTTATTTTGCAATTTCCTTTAAATGCTATAGATTATATCCGTTAGGAGATCATTTTTCTTTGTGATGAAAATGTCTTTTAATTACGACATTATATTTATATGTCATTAGTTTTAAGGTTAGTTTTAAAAAGGCTGTTAACATTGGAAATACTATCATATTCTAAGTTTCAGAAATGAATTTCATTGCGTTTATGAAAAAGAACACATTCAGTTATTGTTATGCGTTTTTTTTTCTGAGAATAAACCATATAAAGGACATTCATTGATGACAAAATGTTATCTTTTCTGCGTGTAGCCATAAATACACAAAACAATTTTAAACGTTTTTCATTGAGACGGTAATGTTTCTATTCATGTTTCGGCTAATACTTTGCTAAGTATCATTTGGTCCCATTTACATTTCTTACATGTTCTCTATTATTACAGTTCCTGATTATAGTAAGTACATATTTATACACATGAATAATTATATAATATTCTTCTTTTAGAGAAAGTATCTTACCAATTTAGTTAAAACGTTGTCCCCTTCTGATATTGTTATATTTTTTAAAAATTTCAGATGAAGAAGAGATTAAAGAAGATCAAGTGCTAAAATCGAGGAAGTCATTGGATCTTTCAGCAAGTAAGGTGAGTTCGTATAATAGATTGTATCTATTAAAACTCTTAAAAGAAGAACTTGGTAAGGCAAGTTAATGTGATCACTCAATTTAAACACGCAGTCCTCTAGCTATTAAGAAAATTTGTTAATCGACCTTTCCAAATAGACCTGATCAGTATCAAATATAATTCTTACAAATGTTTCTGATAATTAATCTTTTTAAAATGTTTCTCTCTGCGTATTTCGATTTAGTTTCTTAGAAATGAAAAAAAAAATTTATCAAAATTACAGCCCTAAGTGGACATGCTTATTTGCTCCTCTGTAAAGCGATTTTTTTGTTATATGCATTAAAATTGCTGTATTTAATGTATATAATATATATACATGTATATATCAGTAAAGAAGACAGTAAAATGTCATTGTTGATTTGATTTGAGAGAAAAAACTATATGCGAATGTTGAGTCTGTTCCAATGTGTAGTGCAGTCTGTGAAATAGATATTTAGCTCTCTGGTCCCGATCAGTAAAGAAGACAGTAAAATGTCATTTGTGAGATATGTTGAACAGAGAGAAAAAACTATATATGCGAATGTTGAGTCAGTTCCAATATGTTGTGCAGTTTTTGACAGTATATTAATCTGTTCTGAAACCATCCTTTTAGTGATGGTGGATTAGAAGTGGCTTTGCTTTCACGACTGTTTTGCTAGGCGCTGCGTGGTAATTGGACTGGCATGTCGATTTGGTGGTATGTGGTAATTAATTCTCTGTCCGTCCGTCTCTATTAATCCTTTCCGACCTTCACAGGTCAAACTACAGGTGGGATTTCAATCAAACTTTAGAGGAGTGATCAATACCATCCCTTGTTGTACATATTATCGGCACGTTCCGTTTCGCTGAACAAAATGGCCACCAGAGCTAAAAATAGAAAAAAATGTGTCCGGCCTTCACAGGTCAAACTACTGGATGGGTTTCAACTTAATTTTACAGGAGTAATCAGTATAATCCCTAGTTGTGCACATTACCAGGACATTCCGCTGCGCTGCACAAAATGGCCGCCAGAGCTAAAAATAGGACAATCGTGCCCGGCTTTCACAGGTCAAACTTCTGGTTGAATTTCAACCAAATTTTACAGGAATGATCAGTATCGTGCCTTGTTATGCACACCATCGGCACGTTCCGCTTCGCTGCAAAAATTGGCTGCCAGAGGTAAAAATAGGAAAATATTTGTCCGGCCTTCACATGTCAAACTACTGATCACATTTCAACTTAAACTTTACAGGAGTGATCAGTGTAATCCCTAGTTGAGCACATTACCGGCACGTTCCGCTGCGCTGCACAAAATGGCCGCCAGAGCTTAAAATAGAAAAATCTTGTCAGGCCTTTACAAACTACTGGTGGAACTTCAACCAAACTTTACAGGACTGACCATACAAAGCTTTGGGATACATATGTTTTTATGACAAAAACCCTTCCATTTGTTTGCTAAAATTTGAAAGTATAATGCTTTGGTCAATATTTAGACTTTCTTGTTATCAGATTTAACATGATGTAATACTAATACCTCAAATATTTTCTCTGGTTTACTTAACGCTTGCTCAGTTCTAAGCGTTTTTGTGTGAAAGATAGCATATTAAGTAAATAAAATTTGGCTTATCTCTAATTATAAAAACTTGAACACGTTTTTTACTTTGATTGCCTTTCGTCAAGTGTTACCAAAAATCATGTCATTGGCGTCCAGAAGAAAGGAAACCAGCATTCAAACATCTGAAAAGGATTTAATGTAACGTTTCCTGTTAGCGATGGGCTGACCAGGTTTTGTCATACCGTGAGTCAATAATAAAAAAAAATGTTAATCTACACCAATACAGTATTAAACGTTCCAGTAAAGTTTTGTTTAGACTGCTATTGTAAGTCACGTAAACGACAGAATGTATCAAATTCTAAACAGGGCTGTCAAAGATAACCATTTTGCAAACAATTTTATTTCTTAAAGTTTTTACAGTTAAGAACATCTCTGAGTTACGTTCACTTCAGAGAAAATCATATTTTTCCGTTCAGTAACTCGAACACATGTTGATATTATGTTTGTAAAAATTGAAAGGGTGACTTTCATATCATAGTACAAATACTTGTATAAAGAATAAAGATTACACCACAACTTAATTGATTAAAATAAATATCATGCTTTTGCAGCGGGCTGAGCCACAACCGTTGCTTGACAGGCAATTGATGTGTAGAAATATTAAAGTCGAAGGGGAATATCTCAGGTATTATATAAATTAATTGAGTTCTTATAGTTTCCAGATATTTATTTCCATAAAGAAATGAAATATCTTTAAGGAAAATAAGTCATTATCAAATCATTGTATTCGAGACATAGAAAATCTCAATTTAATTATGAAACATTCATTATATGATACAAAATCATTAAATTAATCATGTTGTTGAAAACCAGAATATTGAAATTATTGTTTATTAATTGCTCGTTGTCTCTTCGCGATATCATTATTCTTAGCATTATGCGTTATCTGCATTGCAAAATTATTTCTCGCATTGAAGTATTGTAAAACACATACAATTGCAGTTATTTGGACAATGGAGATGGACTGTATGTTGACAAAAATGAAATGAGGATTGGAAGCTACTTCGAAGTTGAGATAATAAGTTTAGGCCAGCGTAGAACAATTGGTATGTGGATAAGTCTTTTTACGAATTCGATTAGAGATTATTAGTTCATTAATATTGTATCAGAAAACATTATTTTTTATCTCATTTAAAGTAATATAATCATTTATGTTAATGTAAAGATAAATACATGTAATTAGATTTATGTGGATAATCTGGTACAAAGAAGAGTAAAAATTTAGCTAGAAAAAATATATACGTACTTGATTTTACATTTACTAAAAATGAGGAACACTGTTTGGCTTTTAACCGAAAAAAACAACCTTTTAAATCTCGAAGTTAACATAATAATATTTAATTTCACATCAAATATTATATCTTTTTCCAAATATATTAATGTAAATATTAAAAAGTTAAAAATTTAGGATGTTCCACTGAAAATTGACACTGAAGAAAACCCGTAATTGTTTGTTTAACTCCTGTTTATTATGCTCCACGAAAAATTTCGGGAGAGCATATAGTTGCCGGGTTGTCCGTCCGTCCGTCAGACTGTCAGTCCGTCCGTCCGTACGTACGTCCCAAATTCGTGTCCGGCCCATAATTTTGTTATTTGAAGTCGGATTTTACAACTTTTATACAGGAATGATCACCATATTAAGACGACGTGTCACGCGAAATATTTGGGTCACTAACTTGACGGAAAAGTCACAGCATGACCTTGCAGCAAAATCGAGTCCAGCGCATAACTTATTTAAAGTCGGATTTTACAACTATTTCACAGAAATGATCAACATATTGAGACGATGTGTCGCGCGCAACATTTGGGTCTCTACCTTGAAGGTCAAGGTCACAGCATGACCTTACAGCAAAATCGTGTCCGGCCTATAACTTGGTTATTTTAAGTTGGATTTTACAACTATTTCACAGAAATGATCACCATATTAAAACAACGTGTCGTGCGCAACATTTGGGTTGCTACCTTGAAGGTCAAGATCACAGCATGTCCTTGCAGCAACATCGTGGCCAGCCCATAACTTCGTTATTTGAAGTCGGATTTTACAACTATTTCACAGAAATGATCACCATATTAAAACGACATGTCGCGCGCATCATTTGGGTCGCTACAATGAAGGTAAAGGTCACAGCATGACCTTACAGCAAAATCGTGTCCGGCCTATAACTTGGTTATCTAAAGTCGGATTTTACAATTTTTTCACAGAAATCATCACCCTATTAAGACAACGTGTCGCGCGCAACATATGGGTTGCTACCTTGAAGGTCAAGATCACAGTAAGACCTTGCAGCAAAATCGCATCCGGCCCATAACACCGTTATATAAACTTGGATTTAACAACTATTTCACAGAAATGATCAACATATTGAGACGACTTGTCGCGCGAAACATTTGGGTCGCTACCTTGAAGGTCAAGGTCACAGCATGACCTTGCAACAAAATATTGGCTATCCCATAACTTCGTTATTTGAAGTCGGATTTTACAACTATTTCACAGAAATGATCACCATATTAAGACGACATGTCGCGCGCATCATTTGGGTCGCTACATTGAACGTCAATGTCACAGCATGACCTTGCAGCAAAATTGTGTCCGGACCATTACTTCGTTATTCGAAGTCGTATTTTACAACTATTTCACAGAAATGATCAACAGATTGAGATGACGTGTCGCGCGCAAGTCGGTAGATAGATCTAATTGAGTAGAAATGCAGTGCAAAGAACAGTAACTCTGCATTGCCTAAGTTTGGAATTATCACACCTTGAACTTTGTCTGGGACATAACTCTGAAACTACAAAAGATATACTTTTCTGTCTCTAAAACCAAGTTGGGGAGCATCACCCGGTTCAACCGGCTCTTGTTATATTAGCTACAGGTTTTGTATCAATCAATTACCTAGATAATATGCAGCTAGGATGGAGTTTAAATGCAGCAGACAATAACCTGTAAGACTTTTGATCTCATTGTAACTGTTTAGGGATTATAAAATAAACGAATGTAAATTCATGAATGAATATGTGATATTACCTGATTTTAATGCGTCTTTATCCCTGTATACTTGGGGACATATACTTGTGGAAGAACATCTATTTACAATTTTAGCATATATTAACACACAATGCTCCATTGGAAGACATTTACTGTACATTAATGTAATATAATCAGTGCCATAGCTCCCTTTTTTGTTGAAATACTATGATGTTTTCATTATGATGTATTTCCCGAATAGCCGATCAAAGTTTTATAACTTCTGACCCCAACCACCTCCTAAAATTCTCGTTTTATTTGAGTCCGCCGTTTTCTCATTTAGTGCTCACACATTCCTTTACTTGAGGACCATATGACGCTTTTACGAAATGCAAAAGAATGAAGTTAATTTGCCACTACCGTCCGTAAACAGGTTTAATCGAAAGAGAGCCAGAAACATTTACAAAATTTGTACAGTTTTTCGCGATTTTTTTCTATTCCATATTTAATAGATGTTTTGAAAAATAGAAGTGATGATATTGTTTGTGTTGTTGCATCTTTCAGTATTTTTCATAAACTTGACCAGGATATAAAGTTTGTCGTTGGTGACAGGATTGGCTGCTTTTTACTTGCATCCGCGCCGAGGTAAATAATATCAGTGCAATAATTCATATCCATGTTTTGTTTTTTATTTAATGTATAAAAACATTTATCCTAAACTTTGGTACTTGATTATACCCGATTATTATGCCCGACACTTTGCAGTAAAAAAACAACTTTAACGACAATGCAAGTTTATAGTTCAAAAAGAAATGACGAGAACCGAAAATTTATAGAACATCCTTTTCTCATCGTAAGTTATCAATACAACTGTAGTCAAAACGACGGAATGACGTCGTTTTCTTACTTAATTACTTATTTAACTCAGTCATATGCCGACATTTTATAGCATACGACTCATCTAACGTATTTCAATCCAACATAACCCCTGTGTTTCAGCACTGGTACAAACACTAAAAAAACGAGTCTGAAAAGAAGTATATGCCCTTCTGAAACCTCGGTTAATAGAAACGTGCCTATTGCTATTTTAGGTGTTTTGTTCTCTTTTAACGTCAAATTATCCGTTCTTTTGTGCTGCTCTTGGGAAGTATCAATTGTTTCCAACAATATCAAAAACAGTAATAAATCTAGGACATAAACATTTTTCAAAACCCATTGTCTTTCATGAACAGATTCAATAATACCAAGTCTAAAATTTTCTTTTCTAGAATATACTGTCATCGAGGAATATCCACTTTTTTAAAACTTTTAACTGTAATAACGATAGTCATATAAGAGAACTTCAAAATGTGTTTATTTATATTGAATTTCATTTAAGACTTCGAGGAAAAACTTATCACAGTAGGACTACTTTTCTAAAAGCTGTTTTTACCAGGAACGGCAAAAAGGTAGGAACATGCTGTTAAATAATGATTTTTTTATGTTTATCAAGTTAATGACTTGATTTTAATAAGTGCAGTGCATATTTTTCTCAATCACATGGTCCGCATTTAATAATTTTTTTGTTGTTGATCTTTTTTTATATAAAATTGCTTTGTCCTCGTTTAGACGTTTACGTTTTCAAAACTCACAACTGCAATTTTAGCTAACTCGTTTCATATGGTCTTCTTTCTTGTCAGGTTGGAGAAAAGGAACTTCGATTAAATCAGTATGTACAGCTATATGCTGCAGTTAGAATGCATTCATCCGGAGAAAAGGTCAAAGTTATACTGGATGCAAAGTACCATGATTGAGAATGAGAATAAGAAGCAAAACTTAATACAATGTATGCTTTATTTGCCTAGAGTCGTGGGCAATTTCTATAAATAGACATCGGAACGTGCAATGACGTCACCGGAAAGAGCATGGAATTATATAAAAATCTCAACATACCTCTTATCTATAAATGCAACTCCTGCTTATAAAGTTTTCCTGTCTAACATTTTTTTAAAAGTCACTTATTTATGTCATCCATTTTGTTTAATTGTAAATTTTTGTTTTCCTTGAGTCGTGGGCTGCAGAAAACGAAAGTAGATCAACACATGAACGTCTCACTGAACTATTTAATTATAAAATTAACTGTCAAATTAACTGTCAATTATATTTAAACAACAAACTGTTTGATTAGCACTAATTTTCAATTTTTTTTTTTTTTTGGTTTATAGGTAAATAATTAGCAGCAATGTGGGCAAAGGAACTCCCCAAGTCTCCTGACAACTTTCACTGCTGAACAAAATCTTAAATGACACCAATGCCCACACTTTGTGCATTCTGCCCACTTCACAATAACAACATCATTACACTCTTTAAGACCTGGAGGTGAAAAGAGGTTACAAACACAGCACTTATCATCATCATCTTCATTATCAAAATCTGATTCATCATCATCATCATCAAACACAAGCTTTTTTCTTGGCTTGACTTGTTGACAGCCACTAGTTGAGGGCTTGGGTGAGGCTAGTTTTGCTTCACATTTCTTTGTTTTTGAATTAACTTGGGATGGCTTCTTTCTTGAGAGCTCGTACTCCTCAACCTCTTGAACCACTGCTGATGTTATGCACTTTCCACCAAGTTTCGGCTTTTTAGATCTCACTTTAGGAGACTTGACTTTTGGTGCTGTATCCATCATTTTCTGTGACAATAGTTCCTGCATGGTGGGAGAAGACTCCTCTGCTTCAGAGATCTTCTTCTTTGGAAATGACCTTGACGGAAACAACAGTTCTTCAGGAACAACACTGCTATCAAATGGGAAAATACCACATTTTTTGAATGCAGCAATTATGTTGCTTGGGGTCATAGATTTTAGGTAAGCCTTACCAGACAAAGCAGCAATTTCATACCTAGTGATAATTTGTCCACGCTGTTTTGCCATAAAAAGGTTGCACTCGCTGTAATAACAAGCTTTAAATGGGGCAAAACAACCAACATCAAGTGGCTGTAGAGCATGAGAGGCACGAGGTGGCAAAACAAAAAGGATAACATTATGTTCAATTGCCCATTTCATAATATCTAAATTGACATGAGATGCATGACCATCATAAATAAGCATGATTGGGTCATTATTATCACCTAAACCTTTTTGTACATATTTGACAAAATGGTTTTTCAAATATTTCATTAATATTTGACCATTTGACCAACCAGAATCTGACATTTCATATGCAGAGTTGAGTGCAGCACCTTTCAATAATTCATCGTTTCTGAGCTTTCCTTTGAATACATAGAAGGGAGGTAAGGCAGTACCAGCAGCATTGATACATGCAATCAGTGTAGTTGTTGATGAATTTGGAGAAGTAACCGCTTGAATTTTTCCAGAAGACTTGCCAGCTATTACTTTTGATGGCCGATGTTCTGGCTGAAGTCCAGTTTCATCCAAATTATAAATGAGATGTGGTTTAAATTGTAAACAATTTTCAGTTAATACCATATTTAGATCAGCAAAGTATGCTGTTACAACTTCTTGTCTGAGTGCAGATACCCTAGTTGATGTCAATCCTCTTGGTTTTATTACCTTAAGACGATGATCCCACCGTTTTAGGAAGGCATAGTACCATTTATCACTCAGAGATTTTCCCTGGTTAAGCTTGCCAAGTTTGATAGCCATTTCAGTAGCTAACACATTTAGTTGTGACCGATTTAAACCGTAGCCAACTTTAGCCAGGTCTTCCAAATAATTAACAAGAGATTCTTCTTCATTTGATGTAAAAAGAGATGTTTTCCCCCATGAAGATTTGATGCCAACCTTCCCAAGAACACAGTCTCTTAAAGTTTGTGCAGGCACATCAAAGAGTCTTGCAGCTCTGTCAACTGGAGTTTTATTGTTTTTAACTGCATCAAATGCTTTTAACATCATTTCTTTGTTATATTGCTTTAATCTTTTAACAGCTTTCTTTGGATGTATCTGAAAAAAAACAAAACAAAAAAAACATACATTCAAAAAAAATATGAAAATGAAAATAAAATTCTTACCAATTTACACTGGCCTCTTGTTAATATAAATTTAATCTATAATTAATAGTTCAGTGAGACACTATTAAAACAATGTGAAGGCAAGCACCGGAAATACATAAACTGTCATCTAGCGATGCAGAGATTGTAAATAAACACTGAAAATCATCCCAAATTTAGAAGGTACTATGGCAATTAGAATTTCTGAACAAAAAGACTAGTAAAATTATCGATTAAGTCAAATATTGTCTCATAAATACCTGTTTCAAGCGCATTTTGATTGTGTTTATCGAGAGTGACGCTTCAGGAAAAGTAACCGGATAGAACACGCGAGGATGCAATCCTTCGTTCCTTAGAAATACATGTGTTTTACTTACCCACGACTCAAGGAAAACCCACGACTTAAGGAAAAGCAGCCATAATAGTTACATTTGTGTACTTATCTTTGCTGTATATTAAGACTTTAATGGTAGTTATTTGTCATGTTTTTTATTTTGTCTCAATGTTCTTGTCTCCGACGTTTACATCTTTACGCTTTTTCCATTTGTTTTGTACATTTAGAAAAAAAAATGTAATATTGATAATTTAAAGCAAACATTTCTCCTGCATATAATATGACAGATTTAATGGCAATGTTTACGGTATGGTGTTTTTGTGTTTCCTTTTTAATAAGATTATCTAATACATATACCTACATGTGAATCATCATGCAGTTGTTTAAACGACCTAATTTTTACCATCGTTTAGTAATATTCCCCGTCAAGTTTTTTAATATACATGTAGATTTGGCTTTGTCCACCTTCCCATTGTTTTCTTATTTATGGCATACGCTTTCTTTTACTTGAGGATTACATTTAAAAGTTCTATGATAACTGCCGTATGAACACACCTGTGGGTGTTTCTAAATTAAATATTACTATGAGTTTAACTATAAAAGTATGAAATGTATGCATTCAACTTTTCAAAAGTAGAATGATTTGATTGAGTAAAAGTGCAGTGCACAAGATCAATTACTTTCATAACAGTAGTTCTTGTCCTTATGTAATTCTTCATAATTATTTTTTGAATAAGGCATAACTCGAAAAAGATAGAAGGTATTTTGCTTTATATATTGATGAATCACACATTGTCAATGTTGAGTTTCTAAGAGCCAAAACTCTTTTATTGCATAACTTTGGATTTACTGCCCCTTTTGCTTTTTCATACTCATTTTTATGCAGAAAGTTATTCAAAAGTATTAGAGTTTTTAACTTAAATTTCACAGCATGACTAAATCGTTAAGGAA